ATATACAGAAAGGCAGTTTGGGAAATGTAGTCCACAATGTAATAGCATGATGCTACAGAGAAAGGCAATTTGGGAAATGAAGTCCACAACAGAGATGCCAGTACTACACTGCCCAAAAACTGTTTTTTCAGCTCAACATGCTATTTTTTCCACAAGCTCTGTTAGCTTTTACCCAGGGAATGAAAAACAGGTGACCAGCTTGCCTGTCAGGAGGGAATTAAAATGCTAATACCATCTGTCAACAAGCCACTTTGAAATCCTTTAGAAAACAAGGGAAAGTGGTCCATACACTCCACAATTACTTTGGGTATGAAAAAGAAACTTACAGGATTGAGTTGTGCTAAAAATGCAAGAGGGAAATATTGGAATCATTAAAAATGCTCAAGGTAATCTTGAAAAGTAGCTGTAAAAAATTAAAAAGGGGGAACTTTACCCTCAGTTAAGCTTAGAGCCACTGATAAATTACGCTGACTTCAAATTCTTAAGAAAACTTTCAGAATGATAGCAAAGGTGAACAGGAACTCCAAATTTTCAGAAATAAAGCAGTGTTGAGTTTACCTATAATTTTTACTATGGTAACTCATGATTTACATCCTCTCTATCTAGTTGAATGAAAATATAATAGTTCAGTTAAGAAATCTCTTCTAAAAGCTTATAAAATAATCCTATAGAGTTTGCTTCTGAATGTAAGTTAGTTCTGTTAAGAGATTCTTCTAGATAAGTTTGTAAAATAGTTCTACAGTTTCAATTTGAATGTTTGTAAAATAGTTTCCTTTTGAATGTTTGTAAAGTGTATGTATAATGAAATATTGAATGTAAAAAGTGTAAACATTGAATGTAATAATTGTAAATGTTAAATGTAAGTCTAAATGTTGAAAGTAAGTCTAAAAAGTGTAAATGTTGAATGTAAGTCTAAAAAGTGTAAATGTTAAATGTAAGTTCATACTAGAATTGCTTTTATTACTCTTTTACCTTCAGATATATTTGAGTACTTTTTATGATAGCTTAAAATATAATTTTATGATGTCAGTAGCCCCTGGAAAACTTAAGTAAAGGTGTCATAATTAGGGGAGTTTTTCTGTCTTCTTCCTAAAAGTTTCCACTCTTCTATTTCTGTTTAAGAAAAGGGTAGGCTTGCCGGGCGGTGGTGGCGCACGCCTTTAATCCCAGCACTCGGGAGGCAGAGCCAGGCGGATCTCTGTGAGTTCGAGGCCAGCCTGGGCTACCAAGTGAGCTCCAGGAAAGGCGCAAAGCTACAGAGAAACCCTGTCTCGAAAAACCAAAAAAAAAAAAAAAAAAAAAGGGTAGGCCTCCCACAAAGGGGTAGGCCTTCCACAATGGAGTTAGTTCAGACAGAAAGTCTGCTACTGTGGTAGGGACACATGTACAGATGAGCTACTTAAACAGCTAACAGTGTTTTTATAATTAGCTTGAGTTTTTGTTCACTTGAGTGGATACTTTGAAATGACTTTTCTCCTCAGAATCAAAATCTTGATCATCTGTTAGGAGAGAGTTTTGATCCAGGAAAGGGGCTTGGTACAGCTAAGACTGCTGTAATCACCTTAGATCCATTCCAATAAGGATAGTCCATCTTTATTATCCTCTACTCCTTTACTGGGAGATGTGGCTACTATGGAGATTGCTGTGGATGTTTGCAAGCTCATAGTAAGGACTTGGGTCAGAGCTGAGACAAGCTCTGTACCCCCTCTTGCCAGAGGCTTGCAGCCAAAGACGAGCAACTTTCTTCTTGATAACTCCCTGAATGTAATAAGGATAATCTAAGACAGGCACAGTCTATCGGAGGGGCTTAGGGAGTCCTTTACTATATAAAGAAGGAGGAATTGTGGAGGTTCACAAAGGTTTCCTAGAAAGATATGGGCTTGCTTTACCCAGCAGAGCTACATTAGATGATTGCTTGAACATGTGCATAGTTTCTAGGTGATTGGAAGGGTCTACACTTTTGTTCCACCCCTTGGCATTCCTATAAATAGCCCTTTAGAAGAGACAGGAGGGGCTGGTGGATAAGGATCCAGGCCCTCCCGAGGCTATCCTATGATTCTATCTGTTTCTCTCCCCTCTATCCTTCTACCTAAATCTCTTATCCCTCTCTCCTCAAGAGTACCCTGGGGTAAAATTTGGGAGCTGGTCTCCCAGCTGGCCTCCCACAGATGGTAAGACCCTATTGCTAAAGACATTACATGTTCATGTTTTGACTATAGGACATGGAAAAATTATGATAGAGCTCAACTGGAAACTCCCACCCTACTGGCTGGCTTTCACAGTGCCAGGAGGGGCCATGCAGGCTGCTGGTCAACATTCCTGCTTGGCTACAGACCCTGAATGCTGAAATACCAAGATACTAAGCAGGATGTTTCTATGTGTTCAATAGTGTCCCAACTATCATGGCTAAGAAAAAGTTTACCAACTAGATTCAAGGTCTATGCCACAAAAGAGAGTTCATGTCTGGTACTGTAAGCTAAGACAAAAACCTGTGGCTGGAGAGGTCACAGGCCCCAATGGGGGATACAACTTGTATGGCTTTTTAAATGAATGTGAAGTGCCTATCCAACTGCATTCTAAATGTGTGTTTATGCCCACAGATCATTGTGATCAGCCTCAACTCCTAAGCACTGGTGAAGCTCCTGACAAGTGATTGTTACTGTGGCATGTTAAGGTGGCTTATTTCTTAGCCATAGGTAGACATCTATAGTCACCCCCTCCAAGGTTCAGAAATCACTTCCAAAAAGGTGGAAAGAATATAAGAGCAAGAGTAAGCAGTAGAGTGTTGTGTAATAGTGTCCTCTAAGATTAAAACATCCCATCCTACGGGGAAGCTTTTTAAGCAGGAAAGTAAACAACTCAAAACAGCTTCAGGAAGTCCTTGAAACTGAACAGATTCATTAGGTCTCTCCACACCACAGTAAGCAAAGCCAAGCTGCAAAGACGACTCAAGCAAGCCCAGTTGCCAAGAGGACTTTGAGACCAGACCAATGGCCTGGAAGAAGCAGAAACCAGCTAAACTGCCTACAAGACGTTTGGACCAACTGAGGCACTGGAAAGAAGGAAGCTCTAATGTGCTGAGCTGCCTGCAGCTGTGTAGTGAGCTCCAGGTTCCCAGTTTTGTTAGCAGTCACTCCTGCTGGGGTGGGCTTTGGTGATGCAGTTATCTGTGAGTCATTTCTGCTCCTGTAAGTAACCCCTCACTGTAAGTAATCCCAATAAAACCCCTCACCCATATCCTGTAAGTAATCCCAATAAAACTCATAGGCTCACTAAACTGGACTTTGGTGGTTATTTGTACCTTGGACTGTCATGGGTCCCCTATGTGGAGTGAGTGAATGTGTGTGTGTTGTGTCTCTCCAGGAAAAGTTTATCACGCAACAGTATGTTATAAATAAATATTTGTTTTATATTGAAATTCTATAAATCCAAAGATACCAAAACTATGTAACAAACAAACCAAGAAAGTTGAGCCTGGATTTTAAGAATTATAAATGTCTTTCTGTGGTGATATATTGTGTACCCCAATAAAGCTTGCCTGGGGATCAGAGGACAAAGCCAGCCACTATATTAAACATAGAGGTCAGGAAATGGTAGCACACGGGAGCTTTAATCCTAGCATTCGGGAGGCAGAGATCCATCAGGATCTCTATGAGTTCAAGGCCACAGTGGGAACAGAGTCAGGTGTGGTGGCACATGCCTTTAATCCCAGCACTAGGAAGAAAGTAAGATGGCAGGGCAGAGAAAGGTATATAAAACATGAGAAATCAGGAAGTCTCTCTCTTGAGACTGAGGATTTTGTAGAGGTAAGAAAGTGACTGGCTTGTTCTATTTCTCTGATCTTTCAGCTTTCACCCCAATATCTGGCTCCAGGTTTTTTTTTATTAATAAGACCACTTAGCAATTCACATTACATCTTTCAATTAGTACTTTTATGTTTTAGGCCTGTAATTCTAATGAAATTAGCAATTCTATTTTACCCTTCTAGATTTACTCTATGAACAAATCACTATAAACATATTAAGTATTAAGTATTCCCATATAAACTATGATTCAAAATTTAGTTTGATTCTCTTGGTGCCATATTCATTCTTTTTCAAATATCTGTATAAATGTTTTGGTTTTTGAAGAGAGTCTAGATACATTTTAATCTCATCCAGAACCATAAAGAAATCTTGAGGCCCCTAAAAAGGTTTCAACACAAGATCTATAAATTCCCTGAAATTATCTAACTTATAAAACCAAATTCTATAAACATATAAAAATAGTAGTTGTGTCAGACCTAGGCCCTCTGCATGTGGACGACAGTTGTGTAGCTTGTACTGTTTGTGGGGCCCTAGCAGTGGGATCAGGATCTGTCCCTGGCACAGGAGCTGGGTTTTTTGGGAACCTATTTCCCCTGCAGGAATGTATTGCCCAGCATTGATGCAGGGGGAGGAGCTTGGTTCTGCCTCATCGTGATATCGTGACATGACATGCTTTGTTGACTCACATAGGAGGCCTCCCCTTTCTGAACAGCAGAAGAGTGGATGGGAGGGGTAGATGAGAGGTGGGGGCAGGGAACGGGAAGAGAGGAGGGAAGGGAAACTAGTTGGTATGTAAAGTAAATGAAAAAATTTTAATTTAAAAAAAAAAAGGAAAAAAACAGTGGTTGTGTCATTTTCCCCACAAGAGAAATGGAATACGAGTTTCATCAGGGCCCAAAAATATGTCAGAAAAATTACTTGAAGAAAGAAATTTTATTCTGTTCTTTTTCCTCTGGAAGCCCTATATAGCCTAGACTGGCTCAAACTGTCCTACCTAACTCCCCTCACCAGTACTGGAATTTTAGGCATAAACCACCAAGCCCTTGGTTAAGAAATCTATCATTGTTACAAATGGTTAAGAAATCTGTCACTGTTACAAAACAAAAACCACAAACTTATCCAGAGTAATCCAAAATCATTCTACATATGTTTCCCTTATACCAGTGTTTTTTCTCCCTCCAACTTAAAACCCACCGCAACTTCATTGGTATCTCCATGCTCAAAGTACTCTTGTATAATTGGTGTTAAAGTCTTCTCAAATGCTGTCTCATCCAGAGGCAAAACCACAGTTTCATAAACACAGTTCTCCTGTAGAAGCGAAATTATAAATTAAATATTTAGATAAACTGAAATTATCACTTCACACTCCAACCAATTAGTGATCACCAGTAAGGCAGGATAAAGACATGCTACCTGTTTTAATCACTTCAGAGTCTGTATGCCACTACTTTCATAAAATTTCAGTTAGCCAAAAGACAGATTAAACCCACTAACTGTGGCAAATACATGATTTTCTCCCAAACTCCATATTTCGAGCTGACTTGGGGGAGGGGGGGACAGAGGAGGGGAGCTGTCTCCCTCTGCGCACTCTTTCTCTCCCTGTGTGTGTGTGTGTGTGTGTGTGTGTGTGTGTGTGTGTGTGTGTGTGTAGGTCAGAGAACAACTTTCAGGAGTAGGTTCTTATCTCTGCTGCCATGCAGAACACTCCATTCATCTGCTTCTTCCAACTCCACCTCCCATCTCACCATGGCATACACAGTTTTTATGTGGGTTACCCGATTCTGGGGATTAAACTCAGGTTGTCTGGTTTGTGCAGGAAGAGCTCTTCCCTACTAAGCCATCTCCCTGTCCCTTCACCTCATTTTTTGAGACACAGTCTCTCACTGATACTACAGCTCCCATTTATCAAGTCCTGGGGTCCTACAGTCTCCACTGCCCAGTGCTGAGATTACAGATAGGCAGCACTATGTCCAGCTTATATGTGGGCACTGGAGATCCACACTCAGATCCCAGCCTTGCACAGAGCCATCTCAGCTCTTGTGCTAACTTTTAAACCCCTCTCAAAACCAATTTTTCAATCCAAAACCTTTAAGATGGCACCCTATTGTATACCGTCATTAAAACTTGGCTTTTTAACAAGATTAAGTATTCCTTATATATCAATATCATCAAAAGCAGAAAGTTTCATAATTAATATAGTAAAAATAATAAAGAGATCACATTGTAATGACTGAAAAATGTAAGAAAGAGTAGTTCAAGTGAAATTTCAGTAAGATTAAAAGTCTATCACCAAACCATATGTCTCCTCTACAGAAAAACTAAAATATTTATCTGCAACTGTAATTTGAAACACTATTTGCAATATATATTTAAAAGACTAATATTTAGCAGATTCCCTGGTATTTCAATCCCACAGGCTTAAATATTTTTATATTCTCTTAGAAATCTCCCAATGTCTATCTGTCAACCAGTAAGTACATAAATACAGATAATGCAGAGACAACAGCCTAGCACACACACTGACATCTTCAAGTTGTAATTTGTTATCACCATTTTCTATCTTACACAAAGTATTTTTTAATTTAGAAAATTTTTCACAAGATCTAGTATTTACTTAAAAATAATCCAGAATATGGAGGAAGGAGGTAAAAGGAGATAGAGGACTAAATAAGATTTCCTGTGAGTTAATACAGTGACACTGGTGATGGCCAAAGGTAAGTAGAAGGTTCATTCTACCAAGTCTGCTTTTGGAATTTGTCCACTAAAAAGGTAAGGAACACTTCACAATGATGCATCACAACATTCCTTACTAAGCATTATCCTAAGAGGAAATGCAGGTGACGGTCACGGAATAGAACAACATATATGCTAGTACTCGTGTCAAATAGTGACACAAAAAAGGAACCTAACACCCATAACCCAAAACACCCAAGAAACTCCTTTATCATCACTGCTAATCCAAGTCAACAAAGACCTCCAAGCAGACTATACACTTGACTATCAAAAACCGGTTTTCCTCATCTAAAATTAATTCAGCAACCACAAAGTACTGAGTGTACATGACTTTGCTATACATGTTGTGTGTCCCTTTACTACTATAGAGTACTCATATATAATCATATACCACTTGACATTCTTATGAGGGAAAAGTTAAGAAATCTTACAAACATTGAGTATACAAAAAAATAACTGGTACCCACCTGGTCATCATCATAGTTCGGGTCTTTCACATCCACCTCCTCCACATCATACACCTGTCCAGGTGTACCCCAGACACCCTTGCCTCCTGCACCACCTGGAAGTTGTTGATAGTTCACACATGTTAACTGAAATCTGAAATAACTTCAATATAAAAATTCTTATGCTAATCATTTTCCAGTTAAGAATTATACTTGAGATTCCTATTTAAATCATTTTTCAATAGTAGGTTATCTATTTCCAAAAGCATGAAGTTATCTATTTCCAAAAGCATGAAGTGACACTATAGTTGACATTTCTTGGAACTAGAAAGAAGGAAATTAAGAGACACATGTTGGACCAGTAAATGTGGCTTTAAAACCTCAACCTATGATTCCACAAAGAACCATAATGACCACCATCAAATGCTTTAAAGTCTAATGTTCTTCCACATAAAGGACACATTATACCATGCTTGGAAATTAGCAGTGTGTTAACAAATAACTAATTGCTATTTAAGAACAACAACACTGACAGTTGCTTCTATTTCTGTATACAAACCAAAGAGAGAAACTTCAACTTGCCAAGTCGCTTTTCCATATCAAATGTGACACTTTTATAAGGCCAAATTAGTCTAAAATAATACTTTTTTAAAGTCTTCAGAATGTCATTGCCCCTTTTTAAGTTTTCATTCTACCAACACCCTCCCTTTTTATAAGTTTTATTTCTGACACTGCACCTCTGCCTTTCTTTTTTTAAGTTTTCATTCTGTACTTGGAGTATAATCCTTGCCAACATAGCAGACCAGAATCAGATAACTATCATTCTGATCCAAATGATTATGAAATTATTCACAAAAATAATTTCTGAAAGACTACTATAGTTTATCTGAATAGTTATATATTTATCTTTCTCTCTTCTTAAAAAAAAGTTTTCCATAGTCATCTTTTTGTCTTGGCATTAGTTCTAGGTTCATTAATGGAAGATGCTGAGATCCAATCTCTATGTTCCATCCCCAACCCTCTTCTAAGCACTTTCATCACCAGATCCATTTAAGTTATCAGGGTCTTAATTAAGTGTATAAGTTGAAGCTCACAGTATTCAAAATTCAGTCCAGTCTCCAAATTCTACCAAGATCCTACTATAAATCGAAGTTGACAGACCTTCATCCAACTAGTGTTAAATGTCTATCAGTATTCTGGGCACTGGATACAGCAGTGAAATAAATCAATCCAATCCACCATTCAAACAGCAAAGCTAGAGAGAACCCAGACCAAGATCTACAAACATGTTACCAACTGTATTATAGTTACCATTCTTACACAACAGACCAAAACAAGATTCATTTGATAAATTATGATTAATCTGACTACTTTCATAGTGTGTATAAAATCCATAACTGAAAGCATCTATGTTTTACTGTATTTCACTAAGGGAAAAAAATAAAGTTCTATTCCAAAGAAAAAGAATCAACCTTAAGAAAAAGCGATATGGGCTTCTCGCTCCACTGCAAATACATATGCACCCATAAACCTTACAACTGTCTGTACCGCTGTCCTCTTCCCAGCGCAGGAACTGGGTTTCCCAGTGTTTCTTTGCATGGCACACACTAACCTTTCTTTGGCAGCCCCCTTCCTTTCCCAGATCGGGACCGTCTATCTAACAACCTTCCTTTTGGACTGGTGGGCACAGGCACTCCACTTCTGATGACTTCACTTCCATTATCACTGACGGAATCGCCTCTGCCAGAGTCCCGGGACGAGTTTTTCCGTAGTCGTCTTTTTGCCTTAGCATTAATTCTAGCTTCATTAATGGAGGATGCGGAAATCCAATTTCCATTGATTTCATTCTTTATTTCCTCAGTGCCAGCATTTTCTTCATCACCAGAAAAGAGAGAGTCGCTTAAGTTATCAGGATCTTAAAAGAGAAAACGAAGAAACCAAACTAAGTATTTCCAATACCCATTGTTATGTCAGATACAATTTAACTTTATTACTACCCATGAAATTAACATTTTGTAGTTAGTAGTAGTCATACACTGGCAATTTCACATGGTTTCATCTAATAAAGGACATTAGCAAGGAAAGTAAACGAAGATACTGAATTTTAACTAATAAAGTCTGAAAAGGATCCTCATGTTTGAAAAAAAAAGTCTAGTAGAAGATCATAAAACTGTAGACTCATGAGCAAAGAGTTATGAAAACAGAGATAGTAAGACAAAAACTCTTGAGAGAATGGAGATAAACCACACAAAATGTCTATTATGCTTTTTAGGCTCTATATGGGACACCTCAAATTCAGTCATTTACACAAATGAGAAAATTAAGGTTCAGAATTGTATTTAAAATTACTTCCCAAACATTCTCTGTTCAGTTATAAATACTTAGGAAATATTAGTAACTCCCAAAAAGCCTGTAATACTGCCGGGCGTTGGTGGTGCACGCCTTTAATCCCAGCACTTGGGAGGCAGAGCCAGGCGGATCTCTGTGAGTTTGAGGCCAGCCTGGGCTACCAAGTGAGCTCCAGGAAAGGCGCAAAGCTACACAGAGAAACCCTGTCTCGAAAAACCAAAAAAAAAAAAAAGCCTATAATATATATTTGGCAAATATATGTAATCACATGTAATTGTTGAACTGACTGCCTTCAACATAAGGAATATTCTTAAAATCATCATCTCCAACTCCTAACTTATTTCCCCAAATTCCTATCTATGAAAAGTTCCCAGAAAAGTTCCCAGCCTATACAAGTTGGCACATTAGCACCTAAAATCATTCCTATTGTTCTCTTGCTTAGAAGTCATTTAATTATTAATCTGCTATCAGAATTCTTCAAAATATACCCCAAATCTTAATCCTTCCATGAACATCTCCCTAAAAACTCAAGCCACAGTAATCCTAAACATTCATATAATGATCATTTAGCCCATCACAGAAATCCATGTTTTACTTTTTATAATTCTTTTCACTGGCTATAGCTTCAAAGAAGAGGCTATTACTAGACTGTATTGTCTACCAACAACACTGAGTAGACCACTCTCCACCCCATTTCAGATGTCTCTGAAGACTGCATGTCAACCTCAGCTTTGCTCTGGAAATGTGTTGGTTTGTTTTTTTAGGTCAGAATTCATTTACCACTACAGCAGTTTTGTTCAGGATAGGTAACTCAAGTCAGAGCCAAATCACCCAAACTGTGTGGTGCCTAATTATAATTATGATGTGTAAAATTGATATATAGGACTTTAATATGTTTTGTGATAGTTTAAAAAGTAAACATTAAATCAACCTCTAAAATCTATATTAGTACTTAATCCTTTTCAGTTCTTAACAAAAAGGTACAGATGTCAATAAGGAAATCCTGTGATCCCAAACACACACACTCAGTGTATTAAGGTGTCCCATGGGTCCCAGCCTCTGCCTTCAATCTTCAGCCTTCTCTAAATCAAGAGTGGTTCCTAAAGCACACCCTTACATGCTCTCACAGGAATGTAAAGTCTTTACTAGGCAGTGTGACGTCACAGACATCTGGCCCCTGCTAACTGCGCCACCCTCGGTGCTGACTATTTTTACCTCAAATTGTCAAATGTAGCTATGATATCTTTTTTCCTTTCGAAAATCTTCCTAGTTCTTATTGGCTTTCTGTAGAGCGAGGGCATCTTCAGCACGGGTAAGAAAGTGCTTTACAAGTTCTACTATCATTTTTTTCACATAAATATGGAATAGTGTCAAGTCTGCTCACAAGACAGGTTTAGGATACAACTTACCAGTGGGGTTTACATTCAGAATCTGATCATTTTCTACATCCATTTTTCCTTAATTTCGCTTGCACTGATTATACACAAATTATGAAATGGAAGTCTTCCTTTAAAATCTATGTTTTAAAAAAGAAAAAAGTTTCAGCATCTTCTAAGCTGACACAATAAAGGTAAATTCAACTTACTTGAATACAATGTGAAAAAAATGCCTTTTTAAAGTTTGCTTTACTTTCACAAATAATCTAATTAACACTTAGTTTCAAATTTCTTCACAAGCTCTTCTGAGACCAAGAAAAAAGAAAAAAAAAACTGAGATTAAAATACAACAGATTTCAGCATGTTGCCAATGAATCCCTTAAATTTGGGGTTTCAAGACCTATTTACAACACATATTTCTTCCAACTTAAAGAAATACACACACACCAAAACTTAAGATTTACACCTCCCCCTCGCTGTGTGTGTGTGTGTGTGTGTGTGTGTGTGTGTGTGTGTGTGTGTGGTCAGCCACAGGTGTACAGGCAGCTGTGGAGGCCAGAAGAGGGCACTGGATCCCCAAAGCTAGACTTCCAGGGAGTTGTGAGCTGACTAATGTGGTGTTGGGAACTGAACTCAGGTCCTCTGAAGATTAGGTACTCTTAATCCATGTTCCATCTCTCCAGCCCATACTTAATACTCTTAAAATTAACCACACATTCATATACAGGAACACAACTATTGGAATAGTTCTTTAACAGTAACTTATATTTCACATATTGATCTTTCAACCACAGACTTTGGAAGCAGAAGCATCTGCCATTTCCTGTCTTTTTATGAAGCGCTGAGATGGGGAGTCATTCTTTTAAATAACCTTTTCTATTATGAGATTTATTTGTAATTTATTTTTAGCATATTGCTTTTACAATCTAAAATTTTCATTCTTAAAAAGAAATAACTTGTTTAGTAACAAATGAAAGCCAGACGTGGTAACCAAATCCATAAGCACAGCACTCTGGAAGCACAAGGAAGGATCATCAGGAGTTTACAGCCTACATAAGAGACTGTTCTAAGGGAGGTGCAGACAGCTGACAGGACTCAGTGGCAGCATGTGCGAGACCCCTTTGATTTACATTCTCCTGTAAAAAGGGTATTAACTTGTGAACCAAAAACAACACCTTACGCTGAAGTGATGCCATAATTGTTAGGCTACACCAACATGTTACCACACTGCTTGAGAAACGCAACACAGTAAAAATCGTCCTCTAATTCTATTCAGAATTAATTGACACATGGCTCTAAATGATCACTGCCCAACGTTTTAATTTCAAATAACTGAGGATTTAGGAAAAAAAAAATTTATGTGGAGATTCAAACAGATATAAGACCAAATACAGTTTAGAAATGCAAACAGTACTTTCCATGGCTGGAAATGGCACCTTTGGCTTCCTTTAAGAGTATGAGTTACATGCTATAGGAAATCTGTCACATGGGATGTGAGCTGAGTTTAAAGTTACATTGTCAAGTTTTTTTTTCATTTTCATTCTTCATGCAAACATAATCTTTGAGAAAATACTTTCTGCAGCATCTACCTAATAAAGGGAAAAGATTATAAACAATGCTTATCAAGCCCTGTATAAATCAAAATGTATTTTAAGTGCATTATTTCGTGTATTTCATGTATTCACTTTGCATACAATTCAAGAGATTCAGGAGAGTGGGTGATCTGTGCAAGGATGAAGAGTAGCACAGTAGAGGAACCACTACCAGAATCCGGACCTGTAAATGCAGGACCAGAGCTCACTGTGCCCTACAGAGAAGGTCCAGGTTAACAAAAAAAGTAACAACACAGACTTGTTATAGCAACTGTTACACACTGCTTTCCAAACACTAAAAATAATCAATCTATGATACAGAAAACAGCTATCAGGAAATGACTATCACAAATAATATACTGCTTTATTAAGTAATTATAACAAAAATAAAAATTAAAAAAAAGTTCCTTCTCCAGACCATGACAACTGGATCAAACAATCAGGAACCGAGTCACAGCCCACAGCAGCACAGCTGTTCTAAAGAACAGTATGTCCCACCCTCTTCAGAGTGGCAGAATTTTTTTTTCTTTTTTAAATTTAACAATCCTTACCTCAAACTTAAGGCAAAGGAAAAAAAAATCTAAACTCCATTTGCTCCACAGTCAGCTATACAAAATCATTTTCAATGAGGGGATAAAAGCATGCTTTACAAGTTAGAAAAATTAAAGCTGAAATTAACTGTTCTCCAGTGTACTTCCTAAATAACCCCATAAATTACTGACATTTTTGGAAGTCAGAGTTTAGACCGAATGTTAAGTAGAAAATTACTTTAGTTCTTTTCTGGGATACAATCACCTAATTAGCAACTTACAATCAGCTAAGAGCACTGCACCACAGTAATGCACTTGCAAAAGCAATCAGTATAGAAAATAACCGTGTACATTGGTTTTTGCGGTCCTAACAAGTATTTCTCCCTTAACATTACCACACTAGACAAACTAATCAAATTATAATTCAAAGATGCCACCGGGGTGTGTGTGTGTGTTGTGTGTGTGTGTGTGTGTGTGTGTGTGTGTGTGTGTGTCTCAATCGCAAGCACATCATGGGTATAAATGCCAATACAGATACATATGCGAAGACTTGGTTTTTAAAAAGGTATATGGGCTTTCCCAAAGCTTCAAACTCTCAATCATGGAGACTGTCACAACTGTTTGAAAATGTCCCAAAATGTTTGAAAAGCCTCCCGTAGGCCTCACACCCACCCCTCACCCAGGCCAGCAGCTGCATTTGAATCATAGCACATAGGACACTAAGGCGGCTGGCTACTGAGCCAGTTCCCAGGAGGGTGTGGGGGGAAGAAATGGGGAGACCTACATCTGCAGCTGGGGGGGGGGGCACCCTCTGTGTACATTACAGCACCGGACAGACACAGGCAGCAGACCCAGCATGCGCTCACAGAAAGGGGGCTCCCTTCCCGGCTTTGTTTTCTCTGGGTGGCATTCCGTTTCTTTTTAGGGCCCCCGTGCAGGAGACGGCAAGGAGGAGTTGGCGCAGGGCCTGGGGGGCGCCTGCCCGCGTCCGGAGCCCGCACGGGCGGACGGCGTGCCCGCAGGACGCCCACCCTCCGGCAGCACCGGGCAGGGCCAGGCCCTCCCTCCGGGATCGGGGCGCGCAGCCCTCCGCTGACCTCCGTCAGGTCCGCACACCTCCCCTACCGACCCGTCCCCCACCGCCAACTGCATCGGGGACGGGCACCTGAAGGCTCCCCTCGGCCACGAGCGCCCGCGCGCCCAGCCGCCGGGGAAGGGGCAGCGGAGGAGG